GTTATTTATATTCAAAAGAGTAAATCTAATGACTATATTCAATTGTATGGTATAATCTTTAAACTCTTGTTAACTAAATACAATTTCAATATTTTATAACAAATAAAAATTTTAAAACCCCTTAAAATAAAAATGAAAAATGCTTGGTTTAATAGATTAATTACAGATTCTTGGGTATTTTTTTTATTACCGTTAATTACTGCTATTTTTGACAACTTTTCACTGAAGAATTATTTCATACATCTCTTCAAGTTTAATCTTTTGATTAATCTGGATGAGTGTCTTAAAGATATAAAAGTTCGAAATAGTCAACAGCTGCTATCCTTAGGTGTTATTTTGAAATTCTTTTTCACTGAGTATGCACTAATCATGCTGTTTATATTCGTTTCGATTGTGTTATCACTAATCCTGTATAGCATCAATATTGTAGCCTATTTCTGTCTTGCATACTTTCTTGCAGCCAATGCCTTGCTTTATGAGCTTCAGATTGTCTTCTCTAAATTCTATTCCAATGTATTTCTATTTCTATTCATTCTTCTTGCCGTGAATAAAGTATATTACACTACCAAAAATTGTAGAAATTTTAAAAGTTTAGAGAATAATAGAATACTTGAAAGCGAAAGTAGTATGTCTCAGATGGATACTTCAACAGAAAATATGGATTTTGTGGATATTGAATCGCCTATAAATAACATGGATATAGTGGATGAATCTAGAGCTATTTCTATTCATAACAATGCATTTGAAGATGATGATCATTATTTGGAAGAAGACATCTCTCAAAAAAGTAATATGAACAGTGATATATCTAGAAACTATATTTCTAATGACGATCATATTAATATTGTTTCTAATGATGATATTTCAGAGCGATTTTTAAGCGAAATTAATTCTCAAGTTTGTATTAGTGAAAACGATTTTGGTAAAAACTTGTCTAATTCAGAAATATCATGCAACTCCTCTCAAATTGACATGTACCATTCGGAAGATGAAGATAGTTTAATCAAAATTCCAAACCACCATTCCACATTTTTAGAGCGTGTGTATGTTAACAATCCTGGGCCAAAGCTTGTCAAGGAAACAGGTGATTCTTTGTTTCATTTTACATTTAAGTTCTACATACAATTATTTATCGTATTTCTTATTGTAGCATTCAAGGCCTTTATGATTCGACTACATAATTTACCAACAACCGGAGGACTCAATCTACTATTCTCCACCTTTTATGTTTTATATGCTTCTTACATAATTTGCTACATATCGAGAGCATTTATTACGAAATATTTGAGTGCTTATATTTACAAGGATTCTCCAAAAATGGATTGGGAATTAGGAGAGTTCATTTTTACCAGCCGTGTTGCTGCTTTGGTAAAGCCTTTTATTATTTTTGGCAGTCTTATCAGAAAACTGATCTGTAAAATCTTCAAAGGAGTTGCTTTTGAAGAAAACTATTCATTGGGGTTTCTGGAAGACGATCGATGCTCATATTTCTATATTGTTTTGAAAAATACTACCTTCTTTGAAGGATTTAGAAAGAGTAGACAATGCCTATGGAAAGGAGATATTAAAAATAATGTTATAAAGATCAATATTAAGGAAGATTTATTCCCAACAATATTGGCCCTTGGTATATTGTTAAAGTCTATAAGTTCGAACGTTTTCTCTTTATTCAGGCCAATTGAGGTTGCTTTTATTGTTATAGCGAACTTTTTTGTTGTAATTGAAATATTCAATTCGTATGGTGTAATGAAAGTAATAGAATATGTTAAAACCAACGGTACGCATTCTTCAAAAGTTACAGACCTTATTGATATACCCTTTGGAGATGAGGCCAGTAGTATCAAGTTACGAGAAAATGGAAAACAAATTAATGATTTCTTTAATGAAAAATTTTTTGAACAGAACCTAATTGATTTAAGTGCTGATGCTTTGGAAGAGGTTTAGATCAGATAATCTCAATAAATTGTAAATTCTAAAATTTTATCTTATAGTTTATTGAGTAGATACTTTTTTATCAGTCAAATTGTATTTAAATATATTCACTTCGTTAATATTGATCACAGTAAAAAGGATTTAATATCTCCAATTATAGTCATGAGAAAGTAGAAATCATTAAAGAGACTTAGCCCCCATCACAATATAGCTGTATGATTCTTTAAGGGAATATTTAAATCATTGGATATTTGATATATTTGTTAATGATATTCTAAAAAATCTCTATATAGAACTTCTAAACACAATTGTTATACAAAACCACACAACAGTATAAATTAAACAAATAGCCTGTATTTTGACTAATTGCGTCATTTTTTCACATTTTAATCCAAAACATATTGTATCAAAATTCTAAAGAAAATAATCTACTTTTGACCCCAAATGAATTTAGATGCTTTGAATGATGAATCAGTTCAATCACTCCTAGAGCAACTTAAAACTGGAGAATTGACACATAAAGAGTATTTGGAATTGGCATTTATTTTCACAAAAAACTTATCTGAAATCAGTGAAAAAAATCTGAAACATATTTTAAGAATATTCTTAAGTTACAAGGGAAAGCCAATTTATGTGAACGAGATCAAAAATTTATTGAAGGACGATATAGAACTGTTTCAACAATATGGCAAAAACTTTATCAGTAAGAGGGGTGTGTTTGAAGTATTCGGCATTAAAGAATGTAATACTAAGGATTTTGAGACACCGATTATATGTAATGAATTAAGTGATACTAAAGATTCTGGAGTGTCATCGGCTGAATGTAATGAATTGAATACACCAATTGAAAGAATCTATGTAAAAAATAAGAGGAGAGTTAAAAAAAGAATTAAGAAAGTTGCCAAGGAGATTGCATTGCAAAAATATAAAAAGAAGATAGAGGATAGGGTGGAAAACAAGAAAAGAGTTGCTAAAATTGACGAAATGATCAAAAAATCGAATTTTGATTGAAAGTAAAAGTTTATTAGATGAAATTGAACTTAATAAAGTTACTTCCGCCTTTTACGTGAATATTTTTTGAAATGTTTTACTATATGAGCATTGTACTAGATTTTCATTATTTTTTCAGTATATATGCAATGGTTTTATATGCTACTTAGCTAATACTCAGTGATATAATCCATTTTTATGCACTAACTATATCAAGTATCATTAATATAGATAACAGTAATTTAATAGAATTGTTAACCTAGAGCTCATTAGATATTTTGAGGTTTTCTCCATATATTTTTAAATGATTATATTCATATACACTTAATACTGCGAGTAATATGATCTCTCCTTTGTATAGTATTAACTTTAAATAAGTAAAGTATTTTTGATCACCTCAAATATTAATTTTCTATTGTTTTTAATTTGAGATTTTATAATTTCTCAACCCATATGGCAAAGACTATTGAAGAAACATACCAAAAAAAGACACCAAAAGAACATATTTTACTTCGTCCAGATACGTATGTTGGATCTGTTGAACTTGATACACAACCAATGTATATTTGGGATGATTCGAAGCAAATGATAGTTCAGAAGTCTATTTCTTTTGTTCCAGGGTTGTATAAAATATTCGACGAAATATTAGTTAATGCAGCAGATAATAAAATAAGGGACTCTTCTATGACAATTATCAGGGTTGATATTTCTGAAAATCGAATATCTATTTATAATAATGGTCGTGGAATACCGATAGAAATTCATTCAAAGGAGAAGGTATATATTCCAGAGCTGATTTTTGGGCATTTGCTTACCTCTAGTAATTATGATGACAAAGAAAAAAAGGTTACAGGAGGTAGAAATGGTTATGGAGCCAAGCTCTGTAATATTTTTAGTAAAGAGTTTATTGTAGAGACAAATTCAAGGGGCCAAAAGTATCTTCAAAGATTTACAGACAATATGTCTATTATCGAGCCTCCAAAAATAACTTCTGGAGGAAAGGAAGAATACACAAAGATAACTTTTACACCAGATTTTAAAAGATTTAGTATGAAACAGCTGGATGAAGATGTTATTGGATTGCTTAAGAAACGTGTGTATGATATGTGTGGAACTGTTAAAAACATTAAAGTATACCTGAATGGAGTAAAACTAAAAATAAGCAATTTCGTAGATTATGTTAAATTATATATTCCAGAAGGACAAAAAGTTGTTCACAAAGTTATTAATAGCCGTTGGGAGCTGGCCTGTACAATTGCCGATGAACAGTTTACACATGTTTCGTTTGTAAATTCCATTAGCACGACAAAAGGAGGAACACATGTTAATCATGTTATTGATCAAATAATGGAGCCTATTTCAAATATTATTAAACGAAAGGACAAAAACGTGGTAGTAAAGCCTTTGCATGTGAAAAACAGTTTGTTTATTTTTATAAATTGTTTGATTGAAAATCCATCATTTGATTCGCAAACAAAAGAAAATCTAACACTCAAAATATCATCCTTTGGATCAAAATGCTTACCAATTGATGATTTCGTCAAGGATGTTACCAAAGGAACAGAAATTGTGGAGAAAATAATCATGTTTTCCAAAGCTAAGCAAGCAAGCCAGTTAAAGAAGACGGATGGTGTCAAAACTACTAGATTGACAGGAATTGCAAAGCTAGAAGATGCAAGTTTGGCAGGAACCAAAAGAAGCGGAGAATGCACCATAATACTTACGGAAGGAGATTCAGCCAAGACATTGGTTGTTGCTGGGCTGGGTGTGGTTGGAAGAGAAAGATATGGTGTGTTTCCACTTAGAGGTAAATTGCTGAATGTTCGTGAGGCTAATCATACTCAAATTGTGGAAAATGTGGAAATATCAAATTTAAAAAAAATTATGGGTCTTCAACATGGAAAAATCTATACAGATACATCAAGCTTGAGATATGGTCACATTATGATCATGACTGATCAGGATCATGATGGATCTCATATTAAGGGATTAATTATAAACTTTTTGGATCATTTTTTCCCTTCACTTCTGAAGATCCCTGAATTTCTTCAAGAATTCATTACACCTATTATTAGAGCTACAAAACGAAACGAAACCAAAGATTTCTTTACCATTCCAGAATATGAATCTTTTAAAGAAAGAAATGAAGCCAATGGAATAACTGGATGGAGCATTAAGTATTATAAAGGTTTGGGTACATCTACTCCCAAAGATGCCAAATATTATTTTAGCAATCTAGATATTCATGTGAAGAATTTTATGACAATGACTGATTCTGATAAAGAATTGATAGATCTTGCGTTCAATAAGAAAAAAGCTGATAATCGAAAACATTGGCTATCGGAATATGAGCCTGGAACTTACTTGGATCAGAGTGTAAAGAATATTTCCATCACAGATTTCGTCAATAGAGAATTAATACTTTTTTCTATGGCTGACAATGTTAGGAGTATTCCCAGTGTTATTGATGGATTCAAGCCCGGACAAAGAAAGGTTATCTTTTCGTGTTTCAAAAGAAATCTGAAAAGTGAAATAAAAGTTGCACAATTAGTTGGTTATGTTAGTGAGCACTCTGCATATCATCATGGAGAGCAGTCACTGTGTATGACGATTATTAATTTAGCACATGACTTTGTAGGATCCAATAATATCAACTTGCTTTTGCCACTAGGATCTTTTGGATCCAGACTTCAAGGGGGTAAGGATGCAGCTAGTCCAAGATATATTTATACGAACTTAAATCCGATTACAAGATTGATCTTCAACGAATTTGATGATCCTGTTTTAAAATATAACTCTGAGGATAATCTAAAGATCGAGCCTGAGCACTACGTGCCCATAATTCCAATGGTATTGGTTAATGGAGCAGATGGGATTGGAACTGGTTGGTCTACGAATATTCCCAATTATAATCCGTTGGATATTGTAGCCAATATTAGAAATTTAATCAAAGGAAAAGAATTAGTTGAAATGATTCCTTGGTATAGGAACTTTAGAGGTGAGATTATTGAACAATCCAGCAATAAGTTTGTAGTAAATGGGGTAGCAGAGGAATGTGGAACTGATATTTCAGTAATGGAGTTGCCGGTTGGAACATGGACACAAAATTATAAAGAATATTTAGAAGCTTCATTGTCAAATGGAACTATTAAGCATTTCAAGGAGAACTTTACCGAAAAGATAGTTGATTTTTTAATTTCGCCAATAAAGACATTTAACTTGAAACTATCCACATCTTTATCCACCAGTAATATGGTCTGTTTTGATAAAAATGGAAAGATTAAGAGGTATTCGTCTCCATTGGAGATAATTACTGAATTTTATTATGTTCGTCTAGAATATTATCAATTTAGAAAGGATAATAGATTGGCTACTTTGGGAGATGAGCTGGTAAAAGCTGAAAACAAAGCCCGATTTATTAAAGCTGTTACATCTGGAAAGCTTGTTATTCATAAAAGATCGACAGCTGAAATTGTTCATGATCTAGAGAAAGATAAGTATGAAAGATTGGATAACTTCGAGTATTTGCTGGGAATGAAGATTAGCTCTTTGACTAAAGAAAGAATGGAGAAAATTATCGGAGAATGTGAAGAAAAGAAAGCAGAATATGATGATCTTGAGAAGAAACAGATCAAGGAAATGTGGATTGAGGATTTGAATATGTTTGAAATAGAGTTTCTAAGGATAATGGATGCAGAAACAAAGGAATATGATAGAGAATTAAAAGATAAAATCAAAAACATATCAAAAGTTAGAAAAAATGGTCAAAGAGTTGACCTGAATTCAAAGGATACGAACCGAAAAGCATCAACTAATAAATCAAATGGAGTAAAATCTTCTGCGACTAAAAAGATTTCCGATACAACTACTAAAAATGTAGCTAATAATACAGTAAAAAAAGAGTCAAATATGGGTTCTAAAAAATCAGATTCTTCTAGAATATTGGAAGGATCGGATTCTTTAAAGAGATCTAAGAAAACAGTTGTGAACCAAGTTAGAAAGAAAATGGCTGCAAATGAACCATCGTCTGAATCTAGTGACATTATTGTTCGAGATAATTTTGTAGGTAGCAGTTCGGAACTAAGTAATTCGGATGAGCCATGGACAAAATATAAAAATATAGAATAAATTTATTTTATATACCTGTTTAGTTTGGTTTTTTGAAGTTTTAATATCAAAAGGTATGCTTATACGGATATTCTTTACAGATTGTTACTATGAATTTCATATATAGTTTTCCTTTATAATCGCCCCAAAATGACCCAGTTTTTACAAGCGAAGAATATCAAATACCTATATGAAAACAAGCATAATAGTTCCATTAAGGGACCAATACTTGATGCCTTCAATATTTGTAAAGATATTCCAACTCTGAATTTTTATTTCAGTATTTTATTTCACGAATATACTGCAACTAAAATTAGCATCCAATTTCACATGATTTTGGAAAGTTATGCTATTGTGAGATCTCTTATATTTCAACATTTGAGCATATATTTAAGTGAAGATGAATTTTACAAGGCAAAACTCGCCAACACACCTCAGGCTTTATGGAATGAGGGAGACAAGCCATTTTCATTTATTGGAATATCCCAAGATGATTATTTTACTGAAAAAGTCCAATCTAACTATTTGAAAAATATCTACCATTCAGAATATTTTGAGGATGCTGAACTGTCCAAAATGAATTCCATAGTTTGTAACAAACCAAATTGTAAATTTTGTAAACTTTTGAGATATTATTTATTAGAAAACATAAGTCTAGGAAATTACTCCAATGTCTTTGAAAAACTTATTCAAGTGATGTTAGATTTGGAAATCTCTGTTCATAATATTTCATACATTGATCAGGAATTTATTTCCTTAGCTATATACCATATTGGAGAAGATTTTAAAAAATCTTTAGGTACTGGATTATTAACTCCCCTTAAATTAAAAATTCTTAGGGACACTGAGCATCCATTTGCTATATTTGATAGTACTATAAATATTCCTTATCAACAAGCCTTCGAAATATGTAATAGACTAATTATTCCAGATAAGAATGTTTTAAATTTTGATAGTTGTTCATTAAGTAGCCATAAAAGTTCTAGATTTTCGATTGTAAATAGTATAAAGCATACGATAGAAACTTCTAATTTTATTGAAATTAGAAATAGGGCTGATCATTTCAATAGAATGTTTCCAGAATGGAAATCATTTGATCAAATTGTTCACAAAAATCGGATGAAATTTGTAATGAATCCCTTTATACTACCTTTAAAACATAGAATACTTCGAATTTATATTCCAATATGTGCTCTCTTCATCGATCAAACTGATTCATATAGATTATTGAGTGCTCAAAATTTAAATTTCGAAAATATTGATGGTAAACATGAATTTGTCAAAGAAGAAACTCAAATTGAAGTTCAATTGATCATTTTCTACGTAAACACCATTCTCTCGAGTAACCCATCCAAAATATTATGTAAAGAATTTATAAATTCTGTTTTTATTGAAACACCTGAAGTATTTGATTATTTTTTGAAAATAAAGCCTAGTATTGATTTTAAAGTAACAAAAAATATCCAAGATATCGTCGAAGAGGAAAACCTGGTAGATAATCACTTAAATTCGCAGAAAAGAAACCTTTTAAAGTTTGTAAAGAGAATCCCATGTTTAGGAAGTTTTCTACCACAAATTTTACGAAGAATGATAGCCACAAAAGATGCCTATTATTCTCATTTGGCATCGGCCATAATATGTTGTTATCCAACAATTCAAAACATAAATTTGATTAGAGAGAATTTTCTGTCTTTAGATACAGAGTTTCTAGACAAACATAAATATTTGATTCAGGAGTTGGAAATTAGGCTCAAAAGTTCAGTAAATTAATTTTTTGAAAATAATTCTAATGCTATTGGTTCATACATTTTTTAGAAATATTTTGCCCATGGTTACAAATACTTCCAAAAAAATTATTAAAGCAGTCATAATTGGAAGTGGTCCAACTGCATATACAGCTGCGATATTCTTGAAAAACTACAATCCTATTTTATTTGAAGGTGAGTTTTCTGATGGAATTGGTCCAGGTGGGCAATTGACAACAACTACAAAAGTGGATAATTATCCCGGATTTCCAAGTGGAACGATGGGCCCGGATTTAATGAAGAATATGAAAAAGCAAGCACTTGATTTGGGTATTCAAATTATTGGAAAATTTGTGATCAGTTTGAAAAAGGAACATGGAATTTTTATACTCAAAGATAAAGATACATCTTACTACGCACATTCGGTAGTTATTGCTACTGGAGCATCTGCTAAGAGGCTTCATGTTCCAGGTACTGATGAATTTTGGACCAATGGAATAAGTGCATGTGCTGTTTGTGATGGTGCATTCTTTATGGATCAAGAATGTGCTGTAATAGGTGGAGGTGATACTGCTATGGAAGAATCACTATTTCTCTCAAATATTTGCTCAAAAGTGTATGTAATTCATCGTAGAAATGAATTTAGGGCTAGAGCGGACAAGGTTGAACGAGTAATGAATACCTCAAACATGAAAATAATGACACCTTATGTTCTTAAGTCTGCACATGGAACTGATCAACTTTCCAGTATTAAGCTGGAGAATACTGAGACTAAAGAAATCATGAATCTTACATTAGATGGATTATTTTTTGGTATTGGACACACCCCGAACACCGATTGTTTAAAATCAAAGGATGGACAGTGTATAGTTGAGCTACATAGCAATGGATATGTTAAAACCAACAGGAACATGGAGACATCTGTAGAGGGGCTTTTTGCCTGTGGAGATGTTCAAGATTTTGTTTATAGACAGGCTATTACAGCAGCATCTTCTGGGTGTATAGCAGCGAAGAAATGTGAGCAGTATATTAATAAATTGATCAAGCCTTACTAATTTATTATAATATTCCAAGATCTTTCACTATATCAATAGAATCTAGGATGCTTCATGAGTAGAAGATAGCATTGTGCATCGCTCATGTATAAAAACTAAGCAATATAGCCATGGTTAATAAATTCATCTGTAGGTTACTATCCTACAGTTGTATCCTTAGGATTTTTCTATATAATCTTAATCTATCCAAAAATACTGAATATTCCAAGAATAACCACAATTGTGAAAATTTATGATTATTTCAGTTTGTTCTATATCCATATTTCAATACCTATTCAAGGATTTTATTTCTAGTATCAATTCATGAAAGTAGTCTAAATTTTTATGTAATGATGCCACCCAATTTACAATTTATCCAAAATTGATGATTTCCATTGTTTTTTATTAGTTAGATGCTTTAATATGATATTACGAAAACTGGAGAATTTATCCCGATTAGTCTAACGGTAGGATTCTAGATTTTCACTCTAGGGGTCAGGGTTCGATTCCCTGGTTGGGAATTTTGACTGTAATATCAAGAGATAGCTTTTTACATATGTTAAAAATTATATATGTGTATATTGTCTTTATTTTATATTTAAGAAGATAGATAAGTTAAACTTTATTTGCGAAAATGCTCCTTTTCTAAAATCTTGCAGAATACAATAATTTTTTATTTTTACACTAAATTAAATATTCTGCAGAATACATTAATGATGCACCGAATAAAAGAAATAATACAGCAATCAAATCAGAGATAGACGTTATAATTGGTAATGCCACAACACTTACATCCTTGTTTTCATGATTACAGGCCTTGACAATTCTTTCTAAGATTAGTAGCAACAGAAATGTTTGAATTACAAAAATAATAATAAATATCATTGAAAATAGAAAGGAACTTATAAGGTCCATAAAAGTTGCAGCGATTAAATAACCACAGGAAATAATTGCAGATAAAACTAGCAATGTCAACTGAGATGATTGTAATGACAGGTTTCTACCTCGGGCAGTTGAAAATTGTCTGTGTAAACAAATAAATGATATACTAGCTGTCATTCCAGCTAAAATAGGATATGTTACAGGTAAATATTTCAACTTTTTTGAGAAGATATCAACCATATACCCACTAATTATTGATAGGGCGAAAGAAAAGGAAAGGATCTTTAGAGATTGAAAGGGTATAGTAATCTCTGTCATAAGACTAAAACATAAGCTTATGCCCCCAATAACGAGTAGAAGAAATCCTGAAAATACTGTTGATTCCATGTCTAATGTATCAAAAAACACTGTGAAATTCAGCAGATATCTGACAATTAGATAATCTATAATTGAACTGAGTAGTGGAAGAATAAAATTCTCCGAATCAAAAGCAAAATATTCGATCAACTCCACTGCACATAATAGGCTTATGACAAAGAGAAATGTAGTTACAACACACGAGAGGATTGATACAACAACTATTTTTATTGTCATTTCTTTAGTTGCCGAATTATTTATTGCACAATAAAATGCCCCTATTAGTCCAACAAAGAGTCCAATTAAAAAAGATTGAAGAACTATCACATTTGTGTTATAAAAGGCATATTTTACATATTCATTCACATTTGTTTGTTTGTTTCGGAAATTCGATAGATGAATTGCAAATGAAAGCTCGATATTGCCTTTAAAGCTAAGAATACAGCTGGCTTCCAAAATTAGTGGGTATATGGCATAATCTTTGTTTGTTGCAGCAATATCATACAGTGACCCTGTCATGAACAGGCCTCCAAGAGCAATAAATAATGGTGTAGCCGACTGTAAAAGAAGAGTCATGTCAATGAAACTATCATTTAGGAAACTCATAGAAATTCTGAAACAAAAACTTTTTCCATTAAGTATGAAACATTTATTTT